GCAACCCTCGGTGTTGCTCCCACACCTTGCTCAGCCAGTGAGCGGGAACTGGTCTGTATGTGGGATCCGAACCCTCGGCGGGAGCGCCACCGCTCTCCCAAGCGGTGCACTGTAGCAGTGCGCCACCGGGCCGGCCCCTTTCCAAGGTTTTATCATCTCCTTGAAACTCCTTTCCTTAGAGCGCAGCCAGTGCCATGTGCCATGGGTGGCTGTAAAACATTTTCTCCAGTTTGAACTTCTTCTCCAGGTGTTCAGTAATGTGGATTTATGCAGCATTTGTGTGTATGCAAACTCTTCTCAGACTGCTCAAGTGTGAGGCCCGTATTGCACAAACATTCTGAAGAGTACTTAGATTATTAAAGCCAAGTTGGTAAAATGAAGAAATAACACCACGTGCAACCAGTGAAACAGGGTGATGCTAACACTCAGACTCGTGCATTCTACACCATCTAGGCTAATGGTTATAGATCTAGGCTATAATTATAAAACCCCATAAAGATATGGAGAGCTCTCTGCCAACATTTTGAAATATGTTCAATAAAAGCAGAACTCAAAGAAAATGAGGCTAATTATTGGCTTTAAATATACCGAGACAAGGCTATGAGGAACCTGGGATTACTGAGATCAGGGGCCACAGAAGTTCTAGGGGAGCTGGTGCGACTGTGAGCCACGTCTACAGGAATCCTCTGGGACCCGGTGTCACTAAGAGCCCTGGCTATGGGAGTGTTGGGTATAGAGAGCCTCAGAGCCCCCAACTCACAGAAGCTGCTTGTTTCCGGGCCTGGTTGATCAGCAGTTTAATTTCTGAAAGGTTTCTGCTCAGGCTCTCTTCTAATATCTTCAACGGCTTCAACCGATCAAATAAAAGGTTGGCTTGTGTTTCCACGTCTTTAACTTTTCTTCCAGCTAACAGAGCTAATAAATAAATACAAGGAGGCAGGGGAGGGGAGGGTGGTGAGAAAGAAGGGGAGGGGGACATGTGACAAATTAATTGTTCATTACTAGTGCACCGGATAAAATAGAATATCCTAATTATCAAATCCTTAAAATTTTGTAAACACGTGAAAAATGCACTGGTAACACGCATTACTCAAGGCCCTTCTCTTTCTGTATAAATGCTAATCCAGATGTTAGCGCATTTGGGTTTTTTAAGGAATGTTGTGAAAAGGCACTCTTGTGCATTTAGCAAGCTCCAAATCTGCATGATGCAGATTTTCATAACTGGAAGGNAGTCACGTAGAAGTTCATTTGTCTCTCGTAATGTGGCATTAACTCTGGACAGGCCAGTTGATGTACTCAGCAGCTTCTGGCTCAGTCCCACCACGTCCTTCAGCGTGTTCACTGCACTCCTGTTTGCAGATGTGGCCAGCTCTTTGATTCTGGCTCCCTTGTCTGTCACACCTAAAATATATGTGTACACAAGCATGCACCCTGGTGTTAC